CCTCAAAACTAATGATGTAATGTATGGTGATTAACATGACATAATAAAATTAAAAAAAAAAAACAAAAAACTGGAGCAAAGAAATAGAAAATTCCCATAGTTCAGTTCCATGACACTAAATGCCAAATGTATCCTTCACTTTCTTTAACTAGATAACTTCAGTACTTAACTAATTAATGTACTTAATTAATCTATGTTCAAAGTGCTTGAGTATTACTCATCAATACTAGTGATTACCACTCTGTGGGTGGAGCACATCTCCTTAGTGATTGAATCAAAACTTCTATAGGTGATACTTAAAATTTGAGAAAAACAGCCTGGTGACTAAATTTATAATAAGGACATCAACTCATCTCCATCTTAATAAGTTCTTCTTTGAAAGCTCCACTCACTCTTTAGTAAAACCGTATTTTCTAATAAGCAGTATATTTGTGCATAGCTATAAATGGCTTAAAATGTCCCCTTCTTCTAAATACAGCCTTCATCTATTTGTTGTCCCTTAGAAGTTTCTTCCAGGGTAATGCCTTATCAACACAGATAAAGTCCCCTTTCTCCAAGTTCCTTGTACTTTGGAAATCACAACATCTGAAATGACTTAAAGCTAAATAAACATCTTTTTTTTTTTTTTTTTGCAAGAGAGAGAATGAGAGAGAGCACGAGGGGGAGGAGGGTCAGAGGGAGAAGCAGACTCCCTGCTGAGCAGGGAGCCCGATGTGGGACTCGATCCCGGGACCCCAGGATCATGACCTGAGCCGGAGGCAGTCGCTTAACCAACTGAGCCACCCAGGCGCCCCTCCAACTTTTTTTTTTAAGATTTTATTTATTTAGGGGCGCCTGGGTGGCTCAGCCATTGGGCGTGTGCCTTCGGCTCAGGTCATGATCCTGGAGTCCCGGGATCGAGTCCCGCATCGGGCTCCCTGTTCGGCGGGAAGCCTGCTTCTCCCTCTCCCACTCCCCCTGCTTGTGTTCCCTCTCTCGCTGTCTCTCTGTCAAATGAATGAGTAAAGTCTTTAAAAAAAAAAAAAAAAAGATTTTATTTATTTATTTGACAGAGAAAGACACAGTGAGAGAGGGAACACAAGCAGGGGGAGAGGGAGAAGCAGCTTTCCTGCCGAGCAGGGAGCCCCATGTGGGGCTCGATCCCAGAACCCTGGGATCCTAACCTGAGCCGAAGGCAGACTCTTAACAACTGAGCCAACCAGACGCCCCTAGATCAACATCTTGATCTGGAGAAAAGGCAAAGAGAGAGCAAAGCTGAAACTAGAAAATTTGTGATATAAAGTAAATTTATCTTGGAAATGCCTGAACTTCCTTTACACAGGATCTCTCTTACTTTCTGTCCTTCCCCCATAATCTAATGCTTCTGTCAAGCATTGTACGAAACTGATTTCCCAGACAAGCCTACCTTGAACAGTTCCATATTCCAGAGATACTTGTCATAACTCTGAACTCTTCCATCAAAAGCCATTCTCTTACTACACTTTGTATAGGGAAAGTAATTTGTTTAAAATCATTTATGTACAAATTAATTCACCTCAATTCACTAGTTGAGGGTACAAAGAAGTTCACATTTCTTTAAATACACAGTTTAGCTCTATTTCTAAACTCCCGACAAAAATGGCCTTCTCTATTCTGAAAATAATTTAAGAAATATTCTGTGAGTAATTCATATTTTCAGGGTACTATTACAATCCTGACTGCAGCTGACTTACAATAAAGTTTTTAAACAGACTTAGCTACCTTGGATTTGGAAAAGAGTTCAATTACCATCAGAGCAGGATGCTTTGAAGTGGGCATCAGTGTTGTGCCTTTAAGCCAGAGATGTCTTGCTGTCCACTCAGAATAATTAAACTATTGGTCACAAATTTTGCTGTCAAAGAATCAGTAACTCCACTCCCCAAATATGGTCACCTTCATTTTATTGTTCACAAGGCTTTTGCTAAGAAAACACTGAGGAACTGATTCTGGCTGCCTATTGTTGTGGTCATGTCTTTACCTGACTGAGGCTAATATCTTGGTGTGGAAAAGAAAGGAGATATAATGCTCAGCAATGGTTGCTAATAGATGTATTAGCTCATGGATGGGTTAATAATACTGTAGATATTATTTGACTTTTCCATGCCTATTCAGTAACACTAAAGAACAGCCACTTTAAATAATATTGCTGGAATTGGATTCAATAGGTGATTCCAACCACAACCCTTTCAGAATGAAAGAAATACATGATTCAAGGGGCAATCAAACTGTGTGTTACCTTTAGACAAAAGCAAAAGAAAACACAATGACCAGAATGCTGCCTTAACAGGTCTTTGTCTCTCTGAATGAATTATGAGATAAAAGTAAATCAATACATAAATAAATCACACAATAAAGTTTAGTGTTAGAAGAGAACAGGTAGTCTCTATTCCTCTTATGTTTTCCTAACACAGGAGACACTTAATAACATCTGTTAGAGCTTCACAAATCCCAAAATTTGGCAGTCTGTGAACTTTTAATTAAATGAAAGAAAAATAATTTGAGAGTTGGTAAAATTTCTGGGTTATCGGTGCCTAAAATTTATGGAAATAAGGAAATAAATTCTAGGTCAATTTTTCATTGATGGGGTATAATAAAAATGTCTTACCTTTAGGCCTATCATATATAGTCTTTCAGATAGTAGAGAAAAACATGTTCCTTTCTGTAAAGTGAAGTGCTGAATTTAAAATCTATAGTAGTTTCAGCAGTGGTCAGCACTGCCATTTTAACTTTCCAAACAGGTAATAGAAAATTGTGTAGTTTGTGTTTTTTTGTTTGAAAGTGTTTTATCTTGGTAGAATTCTAGAACTATGAGGAAGATTTATTGAAAAACCAAAATTTCACAGTTTCTTAAATGCTGAAATTTTATCCAAAGCTACTTTGTTTTTCTAGGAAACTGTGTAACCTAAGTTATAGGGGAAAGCTATACTTTAAGTCTTTAAGATAAGCAACATGATATTAAGCTTTGTTATCACAGTCAAAAAATTGTATTTTAGTGTCAGATCAATGATTTAAAATCTAAGCTGTGGCATTTGTTATTTCTGGACTTCAAGGAATTTACTAATCAAATATCAGTTTTATTTTTCTCATATGTAGAATACTTAGGTTTGATGGCTATTGTGCATACACACAATAAATGAGGTAACAATATAAAAACAAGGTAAATATATGAAGCATATAAATGTAAGAAAAATACTAATCTCTTATGTATAAGTAAAGGAAGTAAAGGAAATAAAATACCTATCATAGTGACCAATAAGTTATAGATATTCAATGAGCTATCATTGTTGGTGTAGTAATTAGTTAACAATATGAAGGTGTTTCTAAGTTATTTTTCTAGAATACAAATTGTTGAAATGCACTTCTCTACTTTTACATATAAACTAAACTAAAACCTTTAAACTAGCTTTCCATATTAAAAAAAGTTTTAATTGTTTAAAATACATAAAATTCACCATCTTAACCACTTTTACGTGTATAGTTCAGTGGTAATTACAAAATCCGTAAACTTTTAAAAGTATAAAGAGATCACCAACTTCTTTAATTTTTTAAATATACATGTATAGTATGATGGAATATTCTCATGGGTATGGCTTCGCTTCAATTTCCCATTCTCCATTGATATAACTTGCATTCTAACCTTTCCTTAACATCCAATTAGAAGTGAAAATGAAACAACTACCAGACTTGTTTCAATCACTAATGAAATACAAAAGTAACTAACATTAGATTTTTTTGTTGTTGTTTTTAAAATAATACTTAGACGGTATCTTCCTAGTTCTTCACATAACAGAAGTGGAAATTAAGGCCGACATAAATTTAGTGACTTGAGTAACAATGTAATTAGCCAGCACTGGAATTGCAGAACACTGATTTCTAATTAAATATTCTTTCTAAAACTTTAGCAAATTTTTATTTACATAAATAAATTATTCAAGAGGAAATAATTATTTTCTTCTCATGGTAATTTTTCTCTTTTATTTTTCATTATGTTTTCCTTCCATTCTTTGATAATAAAATGGATTTTCCATGTTTTTTAATTTTGTTTTGTTAATTTCTAATAAGGCCAAAGTAACACTTTTCTTATTTTGTTCACTTACTGGTAAATATAAATAAATGTATCCTAAATATATATATATATATATATATAGACACGCACATATATATAATATTCATATATATATTCATATATATATGTTTGATATTCATATATATATACATATATGAAAACATTCAGCTTTAACTACAGTTCTTGGATAATTATGCTTGAATCATTTATCACAGATTCATCTGCCTATACTGAAATTAATGTAAGAGGCTTCTGTTCATTGGATCAGACTCTAATATCATTATTCAATCTGTGAGCTGCTCCTCATTTGAATCAATAAAAGGCTGAGAGGTCTTGACAAGCTATCTTTTTTCTAATATTGATCTTGATGACCAAGCTGGTGCCCTAGAGTCTAACCATTGATTTTAAAGGGGAGGCCTGTCAAGTTGGAGGCCAATTTTCTGCTATTAAACAGATCAGGTCTTGTAATTAAAGAAAATGTCAGGCTGTCATATTTTACAAGAGAGCCATGGGAATATTTTCACACAGTTTTCAAGCAAATTAGAAAGTATGCAGACCTGCTGGAGCCAAACACATATACCAGACCCAGCATAAGCTTATGCAGAAACTAAATCAATGTTCAAATGGTATGTGATTCATTGGCTTTCTATTTTCCCAAGACTCAATGATTTAACGAATAATTTATGATGCTTGGCTTTAATAACATGCAGTGCTGCATCAACTTAAAATGCATCAAACTCTTCTAAAAGAAAGTAACATCCAAATGAAAAGCTAATTTACTGTCAGGATAATGGAGAATATCCAAACTGTAGTCCGCAGCCTTTGTTTCCCTTCTGTTTTCTTTTAGTGCCAACTGTAACTCATAACTTCTTACTCTATTTTTATTACGTATTTGTTTATTCTTCTATCCATCCAGGAAAGATTTACAGAGAACCTACAAGTAAAGAGCTGTTGAAGAACTCAGATTAAAGTAGAAGAAACAGATCAATAAACAAAAATTGCATCATACTTCTTGCAATAGAGGTATAGTACATTATTTTCAGAGGAGTATGTGAGTGGGGCACCTGGGTGGCTCAGTTGGTTAAACGTCCAACTCTTGGTTTTGGCTCAGGTCATAATTTCAGTGTCATGGGATCAAGCCCTGCATCAGGCTCAATGCTCAGCATGGAGTTTGCCTCAGATTCTCTCTCCCACTCTCTGCTCCTCCTGTTCATGCTCTCTCTCTAAAATAAAATAAATAAGTCTTTTTTTTTTTTTTAAAGAATATGTGAGTGACTGTGACTAACTTATTTAGGAATATTTAGTTTTCACAAACCATATTGAGATGAGTTTGAGTTTACTGTATAAAAAATTTGAGAGTCTTTGAAAATTTTATGAAAGGACATAGTTCTTTTTACAATTTACAATTCATTTCTGAGGCTAGGAATACTCTAATATTGATAATAAAATGTAGAGCTTTTACAAATGGAAGAGGAAATACTAAAATACCAAGAAAATGAAACAAGAACACAAATGAACAATTGCCCAAGAAGGAAATACAAATTAATACAAGCATTCAGATAAATGTCCTTCCATTATTTCTTCAAATATTGATTTTTGTCCCTATGTCTCTCCTTTCCTTCTGGAATTCCTATTACACTTGTTAGGACTTTTGCACATGTGTTTTCATCCTTATTATTCCTCCCAGTTTAAGTGTATTTTCTAGTGTGTTGGGTCTTTTGTTAAACCCATTCAATGAGTTACTAATTCTTTATGGGTTACTGTTCTAAAATACAGATTTATTTTTTTGTATATTATAATTCTCTGTTAAGATACTTCATCTTTTCATCTCTTTTCTATATTTTCCTCTGGATTTAATGTTAGCTATAGTTATTTTGATATTATTTTCTGCTAACTCCAATATCTGGATTATTTAAGGGTATGCATCTATCAACTATTTTATCACTTTTATCAGTCACTTTTTCCTGTTTCCTTAAATATCTTTTTGTCGCTCTTTTATTTTGTTTTGTATGTTGGACACTGTAAGTGATGCATATTGTTGAGATTCTGGTTACTGTATTCGTTCTCTAAAAAAAAAAAAACATTTTACTTTGTTCAGGTAGGCACCTTGCTGCTGAAGAAGCCTAATTTTTGCTTTATTAAGCTGGGTCTATATTATTTTTTTTCCTTAATCTTAAAACATAGCTTTTATTCTTATGTCATGTTCTTACTCAAAGTTGCATGGCTTTTGTGGGGTTTCAATGGAAAGAACTGGGTGTCCACTATAATCTCTGCATTCTTGCTGAGCCAAAAGGCTAGTATCTTCCCAACACTGGAAGATTCTTCATTTGCTCTCAGTCTCCTAGCAACTGCTGCCTCTAAGAACTTCATATTTTTTTCCTGTACTTTTGCAGTCCAGAATTTGGCTTAGAATCCAAAAAGTATTTCCATATAAATGTCTTGGGTACTGTATACCCAATTCCTCTTTGCTCTATCAATCACAGATATTTCTGTAGCAGATCCAAGCTGTAAGGTGTGCCTCTTCCACATATCAAGACCACTGTTCCTCATCTGGGCTCTTACCTCTCTATACTAAAGCTCAGATAATTATGTCAAGCATAGGAGATGGTAGTACTCATTTTGTTTACCACTCTAAGGAATCCTACATTGGCTGTTGTCAAATGACAGCAATTAGTTTATTTAATAATAGCAAAATTGTTTAATATAATTCTATTCAGAAATAAATACATAGATTAATCTCAAAATTATTGTGGAAAATATAAGAGGAACAAAAAAAGATCATAGCATAGATTATTTTATTACATGGTATGCCAGAAAATGCAAAGTAATCTCAGTGACAGAAGGTGGATGAGCAGTTACCCAGTAATGACATTTGAAGGAAGGATTACCAAAAAGCATAAGAAAACTTTTAAGGGCTTTGGAAATGTTCACTATCTTGATTGAGGTCATGGTTTCATGGGTGTGTACATATAACAAAATAATAACATTATACGTTAAATATGTACAGTTTAGTGTATGTCAAGTATACTCAAAAGTTGTGAATATGTATGTAGACTATATGTATAAATATGTATCTCAAGAGAGACACATGCTGATGAAAAATGTATAACAAAATTTAAATCAGTATAGTAATTTTCTAAAGAAATTTGGTAATATGCATCAAGAGATTTAAAATATTTCAACTTAAACACCAACTCCCAAGAAATGTTATGAACTGTCATAAAGACATAATAAGAAACTAGATGTAAAATAAATGTCCAACAATGGGACACTGTTAAAAAATGACATAACCATGTAAGAAATTATGGTGTTAATGGTTACATTAGAAAAAATTTTCATAGGGATGCCTGGGTGGCTCAGTTGGTTAAATGGCTGCCTTCAGCTCAGGTCATAATCCCGGTGTCCTGGGATCGAGCCCTGCATCGGGCTCCTTGCTCAGCAGAGAGCCTGCTTCTCCCTCTCCCTCTGCCTGCTTCTCTGCCTACTTGTGCTCTCTATCTCTCTGTCAAATATATAGATAAAATCTTAAAAAAAAAAGAAAAAATTTTCATAATATATTTTACCTTTTTTGCCCTTCTTTATTCTTTTATTTGTATTAAGGTACATTACAACAGTTAAATTATTTGCCATAAATTTATATTTAATGAACTTAAAAAATATATACACCTGTATAAACACCATCCCCTCAAAATATAGAATATTTTCATAACCTGAAAAGTACCCTTGTGATATTGTCATTCAGTTAGCACCACAAATAGGTAACAATTTCCAGAATTATATCACCATAGATAATCCCTGTTCTTGAAATTCATAAAAATGAAATCATGGAGTATATACTTTTGTAGCTTGAAATTTTACCTAAAATATTGTTTGAATACTCAACAAGGTTCTAGCCAATAGGATCCAACAGTACATTAAAAGGATTATTCACCATGACCAGGTGGGATTTATTCCTGAGATGCAACGGTGGTTCAACATTTGCAAATTAATCAACGTGATGCAGCACATCAATAAAAGTAAAAAACAAGAACCATATGATCATCTCAATCAATGCAGAGAAAGCATTTGACAAAATATAGCATCCTTTCCTGATTGAAATTCTTCAAGGTACAGGGATAGAGGGAACATACCTCAATATCATAAAAGCCACCTATGATAAGTCTGGCCAGGGGTTTATCAATCTTGTTAATTCTTTCAGAGAACCAGCTCCTAGTTTCGTTGATCTGTTCTATTGTTCTTTTGGTTTCTATCTCATTGATTTCTGCTCTGATCTTTATTATTTTTCTACTCCTGCTGGGTTTAGGCTTTATTTGCTGTTCTTTCCCCAGCTCCTTTAGGTGTAGGGTTAGGTTGTGTATTTGACACCTTTCTTGTTTCTTGAGAAAGGCTTGTATTGCTATATACTTTCCTCTTAGGACTGCCTTTGCTGCATCCCAAAGACATTGGGGAGGGTAATTGCTATGGTGAGCACTGTGAATTGTGTAAGACTGTTGAATCACAGACCTGTACCTCTGAAACAAATCATACATTATATGTTAAAAAAAAAAAAAAAAGAAGAAGAAGAAGATAGCAGGAGGGGAAGGATGAAGGGGGGGAAATCAGAGGGGGAGACGAACCATGAGAGACTAAGGACTCTGAGAAACAAACTGAGGGTTCTAGAGGGGAGGGGGTGGGGGGATGGGTTAGCCTGGTGATGGATATTAAAGAGGGCATGCTCTGCATGGAGCACTGGGTGTTATATGCAAACAATGAATCATGGAACACTACATCAAAACCTAATGATGTAATGTATGGTGATTAACATAACATAAAAAAAACACCCACCTATGAAAAGCCCACAAAAAAATATCATTCTTAATGGGGAAAAACTAAGAGCTTTTCCCTTAAGGTCTGGAACATGACAAGGATGCCCACTCTCACCATTATTATTCAACATAGTACTAGAAATCCTAGCCTCAGCAATCAGACAACAAAAAGAATTAAAAACATCCAAATTGGCAAAGAAGTCAAACTCTCTCTCTTCACAGATGATGTGATATTTTATGTGGAAAACCCAAAAGACTCCATCCTCAAGTTAATAGAACTCATACAGCAATTCAGTAATGTGGCAGGATACAAAATCAATGCACAGAAATCAGTTGCATTTCTATACACTGACAATGTAATTGAATAAAGACAAATTAAGGAATCAATTCCATTGACAACAGCTCCAAAAACCATAAGATACCTAGGAATAAACCTAACCAAAGAGGTAAAGGATCTATACTCTAGAAACTACAGAACACTTATGAAAGAAATTGAGGAAGACACAAAGAGATGGAAAAACATTCCATGCTCATGGATTGGAAGAATAAGCATTGTGAAAATGTCTATGCTGCCCAGAGCAATTTACACTTTCAATGCAATCTCCATCAAAATACCATCCACTTTTTTCAAAGAAATGGAACAAATAATCCTAAAATTTGTATGGAACCAGAAAAGACCCCACATAGCCAGAGGAATGTTGAAAAAGAAAAGCAAAGCCGGCGGCATCACAATTCCGGACTTCAAGCTCTATTAGAAAGCTGTCATCATCAACACAGCATGGTACTGGCACAAAAACAGACACATAGATCAATGGAACAGAATAGAGAGCCCAGAAATGGACCCTCAACTCTATGGTCAACTCATCTTTGACAAAGCAGGAAAGAATATCCAATGGAACAAAGACAGTCTCTTCAACAAATGGTGATGGGAAAATTGGATAGCCACATGCAGAAGAATGAAACTGGACCATTTCCTTACACCACACACAAAAATAGACTCCAAATGGTTGAAAGACCTCAATGTGAGACAGGAGTCCATCAAAATCCTAAAGGAGAACACAGGCAGCAACCTCTTTGACCTCAGCCGAAGCAACTTCTTCCTAGAAACATCGCCAAAGGCAAGGGAAGCAAGGGCAAAAATGAACTATTGGGACTTCATCAAGATAAAAAGCTTTTGCAAAGCAAAGGAAACAGTCAACAAAACCAAAAGACAACCGA